AGTGTATTATTTGTTGAAACTGTACTTCCAATTTGATTTGAAACTGTCTCATTGCTATCTGTTTATCAATAAAACTTTGAAAAAAAAGCAAAACACACAGAGAGAGAGAGAGAGAGAGAGAGAGAGAGAGAGAGAGAGAGAGAGAGAAGAAACCACAGATATATGCTTAGCAAAATGTTAGTTCATGGATACTATCATTTGTGTACCAAATACACAAATGCAAATATTGTCTCAATGCAAATGCAAATATTGTGATAGGAAATAGAGGAATAGCTGAGCATTAATTAGTCACTTGGACATAGGATTAGAGTCCGTGTGTTAAAGGAGGTCACCCCAGTTAAAGGTCTCTCACTCTGGTATAAAATCCAGGAAGTACAGCCAGAAAGTGAGAATATGGACTAGAATATCATCTTGTCTCAGAAATACCCAAGCATTATTAGTTTAGGACTGCTGACACCCTTTAACACCTAACAGATGGAAATAAAGTTCCTCACCTAAGAACCATCCTCCAGTGCCTTAAATTATTTCAATAAACAGTTTTTTAATAACAGTAGATAAGCGCCTGCTTTGGCAAGCTCAGGGACCAGGGTTCAAGCTGGTTCAACCTCTGGTCCTGCAAGCCCTGCCAGCCCCGCCCCCCAGGGCACACAGAGCCGTGACCAAGTCGACGTGGGGGGACTGAAAACAGGAGGATCACCACAAGAGTCCTAGCTGCATAGTGAGAACCTATACCAAACACACAAATGGAAAAAAATTATATATAAAAAACAGCAGACAATCAGAGATAATGGTTGCAAAGAGAGTCAAGTGAGAGCCAGCACCCGCAGAAACAATAGACAGACTGTAATAAATGGACTTGGAAAATACTTTCCACACTACGTTCATGAAAAAGGCCAAGCTTCTAGATTTTGTTAGACAAGTTGGAACGATGTGACATTTATTTGAAAAAGAATGACAAAGAATGATGAACTAAAAAGTACAATAAAAGCTAAAAGCTATGGATGAAATCTAGAGCCCACTGGGCACACCTAAAGAGATAATGCATGAGGTAAGCAATCCAAACTGAAGGGAGGAGACCCAAGCTGAAGATCTGGCAGGAAGCGTGAAGGACCAGGTGGGGGAGGCCTGGTGTTCACTGGAGTTGCAGAAACGGAAAAGAGAGTAAGAGAAGAAATTATATGTGAAGACAGCCTAAAATTTCTGAGATTGATCACAAATATCAATCTGCAATTTCAGAAACCCAATGAAATACAAACAGAATTTTTACAAATAAAAGGTATTTACTTTTGTTTCTTCCCAGTAGAGAAGGCATTTGTCTCATTCCAGAACTGATGTGCACGGATGGAATGGGTAGCTTTGAGTTGTAGTGTAAATGGCATTTCGCAGTTCCAAAAATCTATTATTTACTAAGTCTAAGAGCTTTCAAAACCCCGTGCTACCAGAAATACATTATTTTTGTCTAAGCAGTGAGGTTAAACTGGGTGTATCCTCCGATAATTAAGAACGCGCAGTTACTAGCAAAGGCGTGGCCACCCCGTTCTAGCCCGCCCTCAACGGGCACACGCTCGCGCGCGCGCACGAACATACATGCTTACGCGAGCGCACACACGTACATGCGCGGACACACATACATCTGCAGCACACGGGCACACACGCACCACGTAGGGGCGTGCGGGAGATTCCAGAAATGGGATTTCCTGGGCCCCCCGCAAGCTCTCGGAGCTGAAGCTGGCAAGTTTCGGAGAGGTCAAACGACTCCGTGAGGGTGGGGTTCCACGCGTCTTTTTGTAAGACTCTAAACTCCGCCTTTCTCCAAATCTACTTAAAGAGAAATTGAAAATGTTGGGAGTGCAGGAGAAAAACAGCGCTGTGAGTGTCAACCAGTCAGTCGACGTTGGCGAGGAGGACGGACCTGTCACGGATGGGATGGGCGTTTCCTGTCCACTCCCAGCAGGTATCCAGTGAATTTGGTGCCTCGACGATTGTCAGGCCCAGAAGGAGCTGCAAGACTTGGGACCCCAAGCGCTAAGTTTCCCTCGGTTCGGGTTTGCCACAAAAGCACGGTCAAACCAAAAGCTGTTTTCCACCAATAGGGAAAGATTCCCGAAACTTTTTTCCTACACATTCGCTTATCCCGCCCTCCTCGGACGCACAATTTAAGTTTCTCAGGAATGAGCTAACTTTATCTGAACTCTAACTGCGAAATGGCAGAACCTAAACAGTCTGTTTCCCTCAGCGACACAAGAAACAAGAAAACACGCAAAACCACAACCTCACACTCGCGTTTGCCTGGTGCTTAAAAGGGAAAAAAGAAAAGAAAAAAAAAAACAAAAACTGGCCGGTTGCTGCACAAGCATGCTGGGATACGTAGTTTATACCGGGCTCGGCGTCTGAACACAGCACTGGTCGGCTCCTGAAGAGGACTACGATGCCCGCCGTGCCTCGCGGAAGGGTGGAAGGGGCGGGGCGAGAGGAGTCAGCCTCGCTTGCGCAGGTCCTGGAGACTAAGGGGAGGCGGAGGCGCAGAGCTTCAAGTGCTGAAGTCTCCATGTGACAGTGAGCCGGGTCCTCTCGCTGGGCAACGCTCGACTCTCGGTCGCAGCCACAAGAACCGTGCACTGCTCCAGCTCCTACACAGACCTACAGGCCGGGCACACAAGGTGTTCCGCTGTGCTGCCGCCAAACTTAGGGTACAGTTTGAGTCGCCGCCACCGGGAGGGTTCCGGGGGACCTGGCGGAGAGAGGCGGAGCGGCGAGGCGAGCGGGGATTTCTGCCGGCGCCGGCGCTCCTGAGTAGTAAGGCATGAACGGCTTCACGCCGGAGGACATGAGCCGCGGCGGGGACGCGGCCGCCGCCGTGGCCGCAGTGGTTGCAGCTGCAGCCGCTGCCGCCGCCTCTGCTGGAAACGGGAACGCGGCGGGCACCGGGACCGAGACTCCGGGCACCGGGGCAGTCTCGGCGGCGGCGGCGGCGGCGGCGGCA